TCACATTAGAGTGGGGGTATTGCTAGTGAGCATTGCCTCACAACTAGCATTGGCTCACACACTCCTTGTTATTATATCACAAATCCCTTCAGTTTCCGATCGAAAAACGGTTTTTCATACCTTGACCTCTCCTTTGAAAAGATATTAATTACACTGAATAACACTTTCGGGATAAATTTTTTCGTGATTTCAAATTGAATTCTATTAAATTCTTCATTTTCTACATATATAATTCTATTGTAGCCGCAAAGTAAAATATTTTAAAAGTTTAAACCAGTTTTGTCGTCATTATGAATCTAGCACTAAAAACACGGTAAAAACTAATTTACTGGATCTTCACATAAAAGAAATTTCAATTGTCAACATTTAATTTCTTTTTCTGGATGTAGAAAGGACTTTTAACTAGTGCTAATTGTAACGGGGACCGTTACAGATGTTCCCCAAACGCTCCCCAACTCCCTTTTGGTGCCATATTCCCTGTAAGCTTCATTAAATAAGACAAACTCTATGCATCTGAGATTTTAACAACATTTACAAAGAAGTGTACAAAAATCATTTAAACTTTAGCATTTCACGCGTGCACATGTGAATGCATTTGCGTCATGACCTTATCATCTTGTCTGCACAATCTATATTTTAATACACTGAGTATTAAAGTATTTAATCCAAAATTATTAATAAAATACGCTCATTCAAGTGTATGTTTGATTTTACTCATTTCACGTGCACGCACGTGCATACATGAGCATGGTGACCATACTTTCTTGTAGAAGTCCATTACATCTATCTATGTTCTAAATTCCACCCCGTTTGGGTGAAAACTAAGAGAGTTATAGCTGTTTAAAGTTTCAGCCAATCAGATTGCAGCACTTGTACACACACGTGTATGTATGTGCATGGTGAGCATCCCTACTTGTAGAAGTCCATTATATCTATCTATGTTCCAAATCCCATCCTGTTTGGTTGAAAACCAAGGGAGATATAGCTGTTTAAAGTTTCAGCCAATCAGATTGCAGCGCACGTGCATGCACGTGTTTTCATGATAATTGCTTTATTTCATGTTGTAGGATATCCTAATACATGGCTATGTTCAAAATTTCAAAGGATTTCGTCAAAAAACAAGAAAGATATTGAGACTTTAGTTGCAGCCAATCAGAGCGAAGTGCACGTGCATGCGCGTGAGATCTTGCTATTTTCACCATGTCGTCATGTCTATACTACTAATATATCCTCACATTATGAGTTTCAAAGCATTTCATCTAAAAATAGAACAGTTGTGGCTATATCTATTATATTGGTCATTTCACGTATTGCACGTGCACGCTCTTGCAAGCACGTGCGCGCAAAATGACCTTGATTCCGCAAATCTACATAACATGTCTACTAACCCTAAAAAGGTTTTACCTACATCGGACGAATAGTTTACAAGATCATTCCCGGACAAAAAAGTTCCAGGAAGAAGAAGAAGAAAAATAATAATAACTAGAAACGATCTCGTTGCGAGCAACGAGAGGTCTTCCGTTTGATTCAGGAAAAGAATCTAAAATCGAGCTGAAAAAGTGATAAAATAAATTGGGTCACAAAGAAAATCCAACGCGCTTTTTTCCTCTTTATTCCCAACACGCTTAAATTACGAGTTTTAGTCCACTGCTATAAATGTACTTGAATATACAACAATACACCTGTCTAAGAATCACGAAATGCGCGCCACTATTTATAATTTCGCGCCAAACGCCACAAGTTAATCTGCGCGCCTTTTCTTTGAAATGTTTCATTAAATAGGTGTAATAGCTTCAATAGAATAAAGAAAAAAGAAAAAAAAGTTCTTTAAGCCTAAATTGCGAGGTTTAGAAAGTATATTTAACAGCTTGTACATATTCTATATCATATATAGCTAAGTAACACAAAAGAAGTGAAATGGTAATCATTTTTAATTTTTTTTAATTACCCGTTTATCCCCAAAGTGAACTAACCCGATTCTTTACACCTTCATGAAAAAGTAGAAATGGTTCGATGAAAGACATGTCTCACCCTTCGACGGTCAAGGAATCAGATTTCATTAATGTTCAATGTTCAACTTTAAATATCTTTGAGAAAAGCATGTTATATATAAACTCCATTAGACGATCTTATTTAAAAAAAAGGTTTTCTTATTTCTGTCTTTTGTATTAGTTTAATATGACTCAAGTGTGCATGGAAAACACAGTGGTTACGTTGTGAAAAACTAATAAATTTTGAATACTGCTCTAAATATAGTTATGTATACAGTACACCTGCAACAGTACACCTGTCTAAGAATCATAAAAGGCGGTTCACTATTCATAATCTGGCGACAAACACTACGAGTAAATATTCGTGCCTATCCTTTGGACTGATCTATCAAATAGGTGTGATAGCTTCAATGAAATTAAATATTAAATAAAACAACTTCCACTTATCGCCTTTATTTTATTTCGACGTTAAGAAAGTAAATTTAACACATTGCACACACGTATCTAGCCCAATTACACTAAAGCAAATAAACGGAAATTAAGTTTTAAGATTGTCACTGAATTGCAGCGTACTAATAGGTGAAAGTCCACGTAGTTTTTTTACTTTTCATGTATCATTTAGTCAAACGCTCAGGTGCCTCCATAAACCCCTACTCGCAAAATGGCGGAGTTGACAGAGACAGCCGCCATCTTGGGTTCGCTTCCGATTTTCAAATATTGATATCTAGAGTTCTGATTAACCAAAATCCAAACAACGTATATAGTAAGCATCGATCAAAGGGTCTCTATTATCATTCCAAAAATAAATAAAAAATGTTGAAAAACAAAAAAGTTTGAAAAATACGAGTTTTTAAATTTGCATCTCGTAACGACCGGAAGTATTGACGACGCACGAAAAGGCGATTCTGCAACCCACAAAGTCATGATCTATCATCTCCAATAAGTCTCCAGTTCATATTCTCTACCATTTTTGATAAAAGTGCGCGACAAAATCGCATTTTAAAATCAGGAAATCGTCCATAACTTGGCACCGGAAGCGAATTTTCCAAAAACAATTACAGACTGCACAACTTCATGTAAAGGCGCATATTTTGTGAAAGTTTCGTGAAAAACCACTGAATACTTTTCGAGAAATCGCGTGCACAAAATTTTGTCAAAAAAAAGAATAATAATAATAATAAGAAACAATACAATCACTATAAGGTCTTCCGTGAAGACGGAAGACCTTAATAATAATAACTAGAGCAAAGCTCGTTGCAAAGCAACGAGTAGGTCTTCCGTCCTGTTTGACCGGAAGTAACTTTCATTTTTCACAAAAATGTGAAATAATACCCGAAATGGTTTGAATCCTCAAAAACTATGTTAAATTATGCAAAAATAAGCCATTTTTAGCTACTTCCGGTTTGACCAGAAGTGACGACGACGGACGGAAAATTAATTTTTATGCTCCTAGAGACAGGTGTTACCCAAAAACTTGTCAAGAATGGCAAAAATAGGCGTTTTTCAACTACTTCCGGTGTCGCCGGAAGTGACGATGCCGGACGTATTTTGTTGATTTTAATAGATTAAGCTTGATATTTTGAACAACTTTGCTTCTTTGACGTATTACAAATTCTCAGTACTTTTTAAGTATTAAAGGAAAAACTTTCAGCCCCTCTAGGCCCTTTATTTAAGGGGCCAGCCCTTTTTTCGAGATATCATTTGAAAGATCTTTAAATTCTACACTTCTTTTGTTCTACATGTTTTAACAAAATATTTCCAGGTAAAAAGATATCAAAGAAAAGGTGTTGAAAATTTTAAAATTCGCGATAGGACAATTTTCGGGCCATAGCGAGCGCCGACGTGCGGCACTTCCGATAAAAATGAAACACATTTTGCACATCTATAGACTTAGGACTATCATACCTGAAAGTTTCACGTTTCTATCTACAGCCATTTTTTAGAACGTTCGCGGACAACCTGACCCTTCAAAAATCATAAAATCGCTAATATTTCCGGACCGGAAGTGACGTCATCAAAACGGAAAAAAAATGAATCAAGTTCATGTAATGTTACATGAGTCCTGAAAGTTTCATTAAAATCCATCGAGCCGTTTTCGAGAAATCTCGTGCACAAAATCGGTAAGAAAAAAAAGAATAATAATAGGTAAGAAAAAAAGTGAAAAAGAAACCGAAGAATAACAAGAAGGTCTTCCGCTGAAGACGGAAGACCTTAATAATAAGAAACAGAGTAAAAACAATATGTTCCCCAACTTCGTTTGGGGAACATAATTAAGAGAAAGAAACCTTCTTGGGTTTCCTTCTTTCTATTACAGGTGCTCAGGAAAAAATATATTTGCACATCAAGGACCATATTTAAAAGACCATATTAAAAAAAAATATAAATAGTTGGATCTGTGTTCTTGACAATAAATAATCATCGGCAACTTTTTCCTGAGAACCCGAGACGTCATTTAATCCAGTGCAATATTATATTGACAATTCGAACCAAATAAGAAAAAAGTAAAAGGGTTTCTTTCGCAAAAACTTTATTTCAACAAATATAATACATATATATGCTTTTCATATATCATGTATATCTAGAGATGGACTGTGTCTTTCGAGTTACTGACTTTGTAAAATCTACCTGTGGCTATTGCAGATCTTATCTAGAGGGGGAAAGAATTGGGTTAATTGTGTACACTTAAGAGAAATGTTTATGGGAAGTCTTTCGTTTCTAAAAAGTAAACATCATACCACAATTTTACACTAAACTAGCTGTTTTAGTAATGTACGATTAATCTTAATATAAAATTGCCAGTTAATGGGAAGAGGCCAAAAATGATAATCACGTGTCATGTCCTTTATAACTTTCTAAATCCACACAGACAACACCCCCAACAAATATGGGTCATTAAGTTAAGCAATAAAAGCTATCGAGTAAGGAAAACGAATTGTGACGACACAACAAGTTGTACAATAACACGTCCTTACACACCGCGCATCTAAAATGTGCGACAAGTGTAAGCGGAAGTAAGGACTCGCCTCACCACAGCTCTTTAGTTCCTGAGTTTTATGTAGAGCGCATTCCATTTGCTCAAAATCAAGATTGCAAGATGGTTGTCGTGAATAAAGATGATATTACTCCTGTTTATGAAGCAGTTAGAGATGACAATAACGATACTAATTGGTGAGTCCATTTGCAATTGTTAAGCAATTAAAGTTAAGTATTTCTCTTTGCATACACCCGGGGCGTGGTGAAATTTAGATATACCGATAAAGAAAAGTGCTTTAATTACAGTTGTTGAAATAGTTGTGCAGGTAATGCATAAACATTAAATCCTTATTTAGGTAAACGGTTTTGTATTTGAAAAATATATTTGTGCATCAGTTAAAGTTTTAAAATGTTAATGGAAACGAAAGTTTCCTTCTTTAACATATTAATAATTAATCAAAATTCTTACTTGGGTATTGCTTTAGTAAAAGGACAAGATTCGGGGGTGGGGATCAATGAAAATTATTAGTTTAATGTCATAATTTTGAAAAATTGCTGATTCTGCAAGTTGTACAACTGTCAGAATTCATTTTTTTTATTTAAAAGATAATTGCGGTGCAACGAATCTGTAGAAATTATATACACAATTTTTGATTTAAAATTACAAAGTGCTTCATAAAAAAATTCAGTTATTTTCATTCAGCAAAAGTAGAGTTGCGGGTAAATCTTATCTAAAGGAAGTCATTGTCTTTTTCAAGTCAACGATACTATTTACGATCACGTTTACTATGAATTTGAATAGGAAATATTCAACAACATTGCCTTTTATGGTTAAACATGTTTCAATAAAAAACAAAAATTCATAGTACCTTAGTACGAAGTTCTACATTATTATTAATTGTTCATCTATTAAAACATACTTATAAGTACAATGTTTGTGAATCTGATGAGGTGAGAGTTTTATGCTGAGATAAGTATTATAGTATTTTTTTCTTTATATAGACATTACTGTATGTGCTTCCTGTACAAAAACTCTCTCTCTAGCAAACACTCGTCCCTTATTCACCGACGAATTGTTATACTTGACTTACCACGACGTTAAGGATGCCACGAGAGCGACCGGAAATGTTCCCTCTGATTACCGAGATCCAGGGGGGTATTAGTCGTATCCGCATTGACGAAAGCTCGCTTGGAAGAATCAAATACTTTATACTCGACTTATAAGAAGTCAGTGTAAACATTTAAAGTATTTACTAACATTTTTTGAAGCATAAAGTTGAATTGACTTAATGTTACCATATATTTCTTTACATTCACTTTGTTCACCTAAACATTTACGATCAATTTACAATATATATGTCTTGAACATGTAAAACAAGCATGTTAAAAAGCTTATGCCTCTTAACTTTTTATTTGCTTAGTAAAGAAATTGAATTCAGAAAAGTCGTTAAAAGTCTGTCCTATATTAAACGGTCCTTAGTTTCTGCATTTACAATCTTATGACAATTCTTCCTTTTTCAATTATGTAGAATATAAATAAGGAAAAAAAATCACAGAAACTGTCAATAAATTTCTAACGATACAAAATTTTAAATTCACGATTTTTTTTTATTTAAGAAAAAGTAAAACATATAACGGGAAAATATTTTGATTTACGTTTTACTTCCCCTAATATCTCTATACAGACATAAGTATATAAAGAAAAAAAAATGGTTAGTACCGGCTTTTTATTCTGTACTTTCAACATTTGAAATATTTCAAAATTGGTTCTTTCCAAATGAACAGTGTTTTTTTGCTTTTCTTTGCATCTTTACATACACACGCAACTTTCAGCACGTACGAACCAAAGCAAAGCAAGATAAGCGAATTAATTAAAACAGTCTCAGCTGATGGTGGTCAATTTTGTACATTTACATTTCTATTTTTTTTTTCTGTGATATCCTTTTGAAACTCTGATGAGTTGATTTTTTGATTATTTAACCTGGATGCTAATTTCTCCAAGTAAAGGTCAAGTGCCTGATAATGCATGTTAATCTCGTGCAGCTGTCAGTAGGCAGGGACTATGAAATTGACATTTGTAATTTAAATCTTACGGCTGTTTTATGTCTGACGTCAGTGACCTCTTGTAATTTAAATCTTATTAGACATCATTCAAAAAAAAATTTTTTTACAATTTTATTTCACAATTAAATGTATATTTAAGGAAGTGTCTATTTTGTTTGTTATGCCAGGGGTTTTGTCCTTCTTCGAAAAATTTAGTTGATTATTACAGCATTGTAGATAGCTGCAGAACTGCAGCTCTCTGCTTGACGAATTTTCTCAAGCAAAGAGCTACAGTTCTTCAGATTCATTTTACAATGTACACATATTGGTGATACTCATCAGTTTATATCAAGGGTGTCTCAAACATGTAGAATTTCCCGTTCATCTTTTAAGAGAAATAGATATTTATAGATTAAAATTTCGTGTTCCATGCTTAAGACAGTTCAAGAGGAAACACATATATACTTGTACGTAACACCTGGTTCCCGGAAAAGCGGAATCCGGTTATAAATGGATTAAGATTTCGTTATTCAAGATTTCATAATGTGCATGTGTAAAGTTAGTTAATTTTAGATACATATATACTAGTAGATTATTTCCAGCTGAATGTAGCAAAAGTGAATAAGATTCATTAATTTTAATGAAATTGTAGAAACATATTGAGAACCCCTATATGTTCTACAGTTTGCATACAATTCACCGAAAAAAAAAGTAACAGTTATTTAGCATTCTTTGCTATGATTTAAAAAGTGAACGATATTACGAACAATGGAGAGAAATGCATATTTTTGCCACACTTATGGTCCTCACGATTGATACGGTACGATATTATAAACATTGAATTTACTTTCAAAAAATCCTTTTAGAAAACCCGGTAGATAACACATGGAACTTTTTTTTACAAATAGAATTAAAATATTTGAATTGTGCACTGTTAAAAAACGTTTTTTACTTAACACAAAAGTAAAACAGGTCTCATCTCAAGTTCATATGCACATGTATGTGTAAAATCATTGTCAAAAGCTCGTATAAAACATAATATCTTGACATACTTGTCGAAATGAATGATGATTTTCATGCGGAAGTCTTGTTTTCAGTGTATGTAATCCTAATCAATTGTTTTTTTTTTTTTGTGATACAGGCTTGTTCTGAAGTATACAGACACGGAAATAACTGTTGATTCACAAGGCACAGACTATGACGATTTCAAATCAAAGTTTCAGGGTAAGATACATATAAATCCATGTGGGCATTTTTCCTCTGGATAGATAACTCATTGACATAGCTCATCATACATTTCTATTAATGACTGCAAAAAAGAGGTTTTTAAAACCTAGCTGGGTTCCTGTTCAGAATATTGTTTTTAATCATTCTTATCATGAATCTGCATTATTGGACGAACTGGTTTCTTATAATACGGGTTCTTGAGTTTGGAGGTGAGTCAAGTCAAACGAAACCCAATCATTAAGGCCTAAGGTCATGTTTCGAGGCAAACGACCTCGGAAATTACTAAGCTCAAGACACAACTAAATGCTCTTATAGATTTGTACAAAAATTGAATATATATAAAATGTTCACAGAAGGCTTAATATTTACAATCTCGAGGCTTACAAAGTGTATTCTATTTATCAACTGTTATTCACGACAACTTTTATTAGTTGGTTTACGATATAACTTACAGTTCCGTGCAACGCATATGGTATCATTATGCACTTTTAATTATCATGTTGCATTCTGTTTTACAAATTAATTGTTTGCTTTTCACGTCTCAATTCTTAAGTTCTCTCCTAGAGACAGAAATATTCCACAGACCAGGCTAGTAAACACACGTAAAAGTATTTTGTAACAGCTAGTGGCTAAATGTAAATGATTCCAATTGATGAGACCAGCTTTATTTTTGTTATTTTATTTTTCCAAATAGTTTCCACCTCTGCCGAATTAAATCAGTGGGCCAGTTTGAAAGGTTTTAATACTTTATACAATATACTATCTAAGTATTCACAAAAGATGTTCAAGCTGCATGACATCCGAGAACCAGCTACAGCTCTTGATCTCTTCACTTGACCTAAATTAGCATTTATCTGACATAATATGCAGAGATGTGAAAGATACTGCAAACCTTGTTTAACTCAACCGCACATTGATATCAATTATGTTATATTTGATGTCTTATTTGCAGAGTGGTATCTTTCATATTATATAAATTGTATAACTCAATCGCATTAATATCAATTATGTTATATTTGATGTCTTATTTGCAGAGTGGTATCTTTCATATTATTTAAATTGTTCAGACTTTTTACACGGATAATTCCGTTTCCTAAATCAACGGCTCACGATAGGTGTGACCGGTGTAGCAGGGCTGTTTACTCCTTCTAGGCACACGATCACTTCTAGTATCTCCATGGGTCCATGTTACTTCTATTCTGTTTCGAGATTCATATTATTAGAGGACTTATAAATTGAACCAGTTTTTCTCTCATTGTACAGATGACGAGCGAGTATTCGGCTACGTTAGGCTAATTACCGGGGACGAAATGAGCAAGCGTGCCAAATTTGTTTTAATAACATGGATAGGTAAAAATGTAAAGCCATTGCAGAAAGCCAGAGTATCAACGGATAAAGCCTTCGTAAAAGAAGTTCTTAGGGTAAGTGTGTTATAAAATACGGGTGTCTCGTTGTGGTATGAGGTAAGGCTGATTGTAATGTCAGAAATTAAATGTTTTGAAGTACTAGTAAATAGAGGTAAGTCTGATTGAAATATTATGAGATCAATCTGTTTGTGATTTCACAAGGTAATTATAAGGTAAAACGTATAGTAATATAAGGGTATAGTCTGCTTGTAATTTGCTTTGCAAATCTGGTCGTATTATTATATGGTAACTCTATTAAAATACATATTGTAAAGACTAATTTAAGTTTAATTGTAATATAGTATGAGGTTAATCTGTTAATAATATAATATTTCAAGTCCGATTGACATTCATTCAGGTAAGTCATTATAATGTTACACGGGAAAGTCTTATTGTTATATATTATAAGCCACAAGGGTAAGTCTTATTGCAATGTCATAAGGTTTATATGATTGCAATATTATAAGATACATATATCTCGATGCAAGTCTGGTTGATATTTAACAATAATAAGGCTTAAAATAACACTATAAGAGTAAGTACAATTTCATAAAATTTCAAGGAAGGGGCTAGTGTTAAAGTCGGATAAGTTACGCCTGATCGTAGTTTTATAATAAGGGTAAGCTATGGATAAAACTGATTCATTTCCTTTTGACCGTAGGTAGAGGTGGGCGTAACATTATTTTAATAAGTGACCATTTTTATCATATTATTTAATTCTTATCATAATTATTTTTATTACTGTGTACAATTTGAATTTCTAAATTCATATGATCTCAAGTTAAATAGCAGTGTTAATAAAATATGAAAAAAAAATTATGTTCATTAGCGATATTTTTCGTTACAGATTTTTGCTCTGGAGGTATCGGCTGATGACGTCACGGATATTACCGAAAACAAGATTCGTGACGCTGTTGTAAAAGCTGGAGGAGCGAACTATGGAACAGGAAATTGAACCTCTAGTCAAACATCTCAGAAACTTTATTTTATAGGATTTTCAAAATGGGAGTGAAAAAGAGAAAACTGCTTTAAGAAAATGCTTCTTATTTCTTGATATATACACAAAAATGGTTTGATGGTTAATATGTGGTTAATACATTTTAAGAATCTCGTCTTCAAAAAAAATATTTACTTATTTCGTAAATTCTACTGACAATACACCATCAGAATGCATAGTATTTACTAAATATCAATTTTCACTGAAATACTCAGGAGATTCAATCATTGTACGAAGTAAGCATATTTAAATCACGATGAAGATAAAATACTCATCGATTTTCTTAACTATTCCCGAATTGTAAAGAAAAGTCTACATACATATGTCAATCTATATACAAATCACTTTTTAAAGTTTTGGGTCATTATATTTCCCCTGTGTGAGTTTATATCATTATGTCACTTGAGCCTTGTATGTGATCTATTACTATTCGTTTTTGTCTGCCATTAAAATTCGTCTGGAGCGAAGTAATAAATTTCATTTTGTGGTTATGTTTGTTTTTAATGCCCCCTTAATCGAAAATTCGGGGGCATTTAGTTTTGCTCTGCCCCCCCCCCCCCCATTCCGCAAAAAACTTTGCAATGAATGTAACAGCTGGACAGACGGACAGCTAAACAGACTCAAGGAGAAGTGACCCCGAAGTGTCGCTCTGTTCTGCTACAAAAAATAGTAACATTGTGACAAAGGTATCCCATAACTTGGGATGTTTATAAAATCCGCATTTTTAATCAGACCAAGGCCGAGTGAATTATTTCTCGCTTTTTATCCGCAGCATGTTGAATAAATTCAAGCTACTCAGGCAGCAATGATATCGATATTTCATAGATACCACATCTACACTGCACAAGATTCCGTATTCCAATTTCATGATCAGTTATCAACATCAGAAAAGTCCACAGGCTTAACTTATTTAAAGACTTTACAGCAGTAATTGTCTTTCGAAAAAAATATTTACAGATAATTATCGACGGATTAAACCGTCGAACATTTGGAGAGATTTTCACCTCATTTTAACATACAACATAAATATAGTTTTCAGTAGAACCAAATTAACAAGAGTATTTTCCCGTATGCCTCCTTCATTATTCAACCAACTTTAACTTTTTGTACTGACAATTATGGAATAAAGAAGCATTTTTTTTCTCTAAAAATATACATTTGTTAGAGCATCCATTCCTCATAATTTTTATTCCATAAAGAGATCCAAAAATATTTATGCTACACCCTCTTACATTTGATAAAGAGGAAACATTTCCAGGTTGACCACAAAGATGGCGGCCAAGGGAAATAACTCGGAGAGAAAATACGTCATATGAACTAATATGTGGACTTTTTCATAAGACAGAAGTTACAAATATTTTCTACAGTAGGGTATATTCATGTTGGTGACAAATATTTTTTTAATGCGTTATAATAATTTTTAAACACTCTCTGTAAAATAACTGTTCATTTTGTATATCGGTATTTAATGCGTTATGATAATTTTTTAAACACTTTCTGTAAAATAACCGCGTTCATTTTGTATAATATCGCTATTTAATGCGTTATGATATTCTTTTTAAACACTTTCTGTAAAATAACCGTTCATTTTGTATATCGCTATTTAATACGTTACGATAATTTCTTAAACACTTTCTGTAAAATAACCGTTCATTTTGTATATCGTTATTAGCACTGCACAACTATTTTCCTTGTTGTAAATAAAACTTAATTCTTAACTCTCGAGCAAGGTGCGGAGTCCACTTCTTGATCACATAAATTGTCGGAATCTTGAATACTTAAGCCTGTATGTTGTGACGTCATGTTTAGCCAATGATTATATTTGTTTCCATCGTAAATGAAATCAACAACTGACAGTCTGTTAACAAACAAGAGGTCCATGGCCCACAACACTCACCTTTGTACTGGTCATGTTGTTTATCACCAGACTTCCTCCCTTGTTATAACTATTGTGGCTCCACCCTATCCTGGGACAATTAAGAGTCTACACTACTTCAGGATGCTTCCAAATAAGTTGAAGCTGTTTTGGTCCATTGGTTCCTGAGAAGAAGACTTATTCTATATATTTATAAACTTTAAAATAGGCTTTTCTAACGTGACCCCGACCCAGCCCCGGAGGTCATGATGTGAACAATTTAGAACCCACACTGACTACCCAAGGATGCTTTCACTTATGTTTCAGCTTTTCTGATTCTTGAGTAGATTTTTGATGACCCAATCCTATTTTTGTCTTTTCATGATTATCTTCCCTTTTAAGGGGTTTGGCTCTTCCTTTTTCACAATTGAAACTCCCCTTGACCAAAGGATGCTTTGTACCAAGTTTGGTCAAAAATGCGCGATGGTTCTTTAGAAGATGTTGAAAGTTCAGCACAGGTGATCTCAAAATAATTCGTTAACTGTGATCGGGTATTCATTTCGACTTTGCTTTCCAATTCTCACATTGGTCAATATTTTAATAAGCTACGAAATGTTCTCTTCTCATTCAACCATGGCCAGAATGGGAAAGGAAGTCAACGTATATTTTGTTGGTGGTTTGGGACAGTGGACACCAATAAACAAGTTGGCTCATTATAAAAAAATATTTCATACAAATATTTTCTTTTATAAAAGCAAATTGGTTAGAATTTCCTCTTTAATTTCAAAGAAAGTCTAGAATTTGAAAATTTAATACGGATTAAGCAAGGAAGACAACAACTGTCATTGAATGTATAAGTATATATATATATATGCATTCATGACTGCCCAAATTTGCCCATATACATGTTGTATGCATATGGTTTAATGTTGACTAACATATTTGGAAACGATGATGTACATGTAACACCTAAAAGGAAGACAGTACACACACAGGCGAATTAAATTAGATATTCCTAGTTCTTAATATAACAGTTTCTCGTGGTTGCTGGATGATAAGAATGATTATTTTTCCCTCTCATATCTGATTTCATATTCAATCCAACGTGTTAATTTATTCATCTGATGAAAGCCATCATTTGTTTTACCAATGCTACCAAGACTGGAAAATCCATGAGTACAAACCCCCCAAAGATGAAAGTCATGAATACGACGCTAAAAGTCCCCCCGACAAATGTAGCAGAGGGACGGGGGTCCTCAGCACTGGTTTTACTTCTTATTGTGGAGGACAATATGGTTTTGTCTACTTCAAGTTCTTTCTTCATTTTTTGAATTTCTTCCAAAACTTCATCAGTTAGGTTTTTGGTGGGAGTCTGTGCACACGTACAGTTGCAAGGTGTACCTAGCAATAACGAGAATGTACATGAAATATGTTGCCATTGACAACTTTCAATTTTTGATATCTGAATAATATTTTTCTTGTGGAAACTTTCATTCTAGTCTAAGAAATTATACTTCTGGAAATAAAGGATATTTTTAGAAAACATTGATAAATGCATTACTACCGGAGCATCGCCTAAATGATGCTTTTGGAGTGTCAACAGAGAATAGGTACTCACCGGTAAATGCGGCTGCTTCAGTAGATGAAGCTAATGCTGTAGCGGTGGGGATGGTACCAGGTGCTGTAGTCGATGTGGTGGTATCTGGTGCTTCGGTCGTTGTGGTGGTATCTGGTGCTTCGGTCGATGTGGTGCTATCTAGTTCTTCGGTCGATGTGGTGGTATCTGGTGCTTCGGTCGATGTGGTTTCTAATGCTTCGGTCGATGTGGTGGTATCTGGTGCTTCGATAGATGTAGTATCTGGTGCTTCGGTAGATGTGGTAGTATCTGTTAATTCGATGGTACTTTCATCTATAGTATTATCACATTAGAAATTTTTATTGCAATACAGTACAAAAACCAATAAATAGTAATTTGTAAAAACTAAATATGTATAAAAATTTATTCAAAGATTTCAAGTAAAGCCTTTTAAAGCAACTGAAGTTGAAAAAATTCACAATATGATCTCTTTGACGTAGATCAAAATAGATCTAGATTATTGGTAATGTGAAATGGAAATTATTGTAATCATTACATTTTTTGCGAGTAATGGTGTCTTTTTATTAATGATATTAAAAAAATGTTATCTATTAAAACAATTTCAAATATTTTAATGTCAGATAAATGAAAGATATACTAGTCTTCTTTTAAATGGAAAATTTCTATAAAATACCAAGAAAATTATAAAATTTGTCAAAAAAGAGAGATAGAAAAAATATTTCAAGAACCATTAAGCTCAAAACACGTGACACTAGTATCCTATGGCTACTATGAACTGGCAATTTGTAGTGAGTGACCTACAAACTTTATTATACTCACCGCTTGAAAAGCGGGAGGGTATATAGTAATCGGGGTGTCCATCCGTCCGTCTGTTACGCTTTGGTTGTACCCATCATTTATCAGTCTAGTCGAACCCTCAAACGGGGGTAAACGGAAGTAGGAAAACCGTACCCTCAAACGGGGGTACGCGCATGCGCAGACACTTAAAAAAGTACCGTTTTCAAGGAAAAACGTGTGGTCCACAAAATATGCTCGTGCAAAGTGGTGGATTATTTCGTAGCTCTGTATGTACTCGAATTTGATAGATTAAAGATGTTTAAAGAGATTGTTCTGCGAAAAAGTATATGTTTATTGCAAAAATCGAGACTTTTTCTCTCCCAAAGTTAGCGTATTCTGTGCCTTGACCTCCATGCTTGATTTTTGTCCCCCGCTTGAAAAGTGGGGGATATTAATTTGGGTTTGTCCGTCCGTCTGTCCGTCCGTCCGTCCGTCTTTCTGTCTGTCTGTAACGCTTTCGTTTCCACACGATATCTCGAGAACCCTTTGAGCTTTTGCAATGAAATTTAGCATAGCAACTCCCTGTGGACTAAAGAAGACCTCTATTGATTTTGAGGTCAAAAGGTCAAAGGTCAAGGTCATAAATAAGCAAATTCTGTCTGTTAAAACACTTTCGTTTCCACACGATATCTTTAGAAGCATTTGAGCTATTGCAATGAAATTTTATATAACAACTCCCTGTGGCCTAATGAAGACCCCTATTGATTTTGAGGTCAAAAGGTCAAAGTTCAAGGTCGTAAATTTATACATTCTGTCTGTGTGAAATACTATTATTTCCGGGCGATATTTCAAGAAGATTTTGAGCTTATGCAATGTAATTTTATATCAAAACTCCCTAGGACGTCTCTCGCCCCTCTCAAAGTGCCCCGCCCCGTTTGTTTTATTAGTATTTATAGTATTACATGTCGCTATTTTTAGCGCAGGGGCATGAGGAGAGTTATTGCGTATCGCTTCAAGTGTGAGAGGTACCGGGATCGAACCTTGGTCGAACCTTTCTTTTTTTTTTTTAAATACTTTTTTTTTAACTAAATGATAGTATTCAGCATGTGAAATGAAAACATAATGAAGAATAAGCAATCAAATCTTTATATGCATATTGACAACATGTATTTTATTTCCTTCAGTATACATGTATACATTTAATAATTCTACAAATTCAGTCAGCGGGAGCCGACTTTTTCCCTCAGCGGGGGACACGAATTCTCTGAATTAGCTTGTTTATTCATAATTTCAAGTGTGAGAGGTACCGGGATCGAACCTTGGTCGAACCTTTCTTTTTTTTTTTTTTAAATACTTTTTTTTTAACTAAATGATAGTATTCAGCATGTGAAATGAAAACATAATGAAGAATAAGCAATCAAAAAATAATATGAATATAGACAACATGTATTTTATTTCCTTCAGTATACATGTATACATTTAATAATTCTACAAATTCAGTCAGCGGGAGCCGACTTTTTCCCTCAGCGGGGGACACGAATTCTCTGAATTAGCTTGTTTATTCATAATTTAATAAAACAGATGAAAAAACAAACAATGGTTTGTTTAATGTTGAACTACATATAATTCCCTTCCCCGGTATTACAAATTTTGTGTAATTAACATGTTATTTATCATTTTTCGACACTTTCTTGTGTGCCCGTCCGAATTTCCTCTGTCCTGTAAACAAACTTTTGTGCTTGAGAAATGAGGTAAATACAAACGAAAAAAAAAATTATTTTTATTTTTTAATTGAAAACAAAGGCGTAGACAATTCATTTTGTATGTTTGTGATTTTTAAAAAAAATATTTATTTTTTAAATAAGAAGAGTTATCGTTCTTTAATTCCACTTCCGCTTTAGCGCGTTGCATTAAGGGCAGGAAAACCCTCGTTTGAGGGTATACCCCCGTTTGAGGGTTCGACTAGACTGTTTATCCGCAACTCCTCTTATACCACTGATTAAAATTTGATGAGACTTTCAGAGAATCTCTATTACATAATGCCATTGTGCACCTTCTATTTTACTTTTTAATCCGACACATCTTTTGGGTTTCCCGTAGCAAAACATAGACACTGCCATTATATTCTTACCTATGACATGAGGTGTGGTGGCTTCTGAAGTTACTAGTATTCCTCTTTACACATCACCGTAAAACAATATAGAGAGGGCAAGAGATCTTCCAAAAGATCTATACATGTAACAAAGCTTGAGCTAGTACTTTTGATCCGACACATATTTTGGGTTTCCCATAGCAAAACATGGACACTGCCATTATATTCATATGGGAGGCGGGGGTATCATTTAGTGAGCTCAGTGCTCACAGTACCTCTACTATTCAACTAAATTTATCATTTTCCTTAGCCTATAGATGTGAAAATACTAGATCGGTCTGACCTTCTTAAAGACAACTACATGTAGATAACAACTAGAAGTCACATATTATAATTAGCACGAATAATATATATCCAAAATATATAAGCGAGTCTCTAGTTAATACCAGCGAAGGTCTAGGATTAGAACAAGTGATAACCTGTATGATAAGAGGAGATAATATCTTTGACCTACCATTTACATCCCACCAAACTTTGATAGAAAAAATCAAAAGTTTTCCGCCCATTGGTAAAGCTGATCATGATGTCATTTCATGTGATGCAGCGTGGAACCAGTCAGATCGAAGCACCATCGTAGAGAGATCTTACGAAAAGGGCTAATATGGGTGTCATCAGGGAAGCAATAAACAATAGCTAAAAGGAATATGATAACATCAGAGACATCAGGGATATCAATCTAATATGGCCCATGTTCAAGGGAATGTACCAACTAAGTTTACTTGAACAAAGCCATCACATCCCTGGATTGATATTCACCTAAACAGACTCATGAGGAAATATAGAACAAATCAAAAAGCAATTAGGAAAGACCAACAGCAAGAGGGACAGGAAACGATATCGCAAACTGAAAACATCTAGCCAGCGAGAAATATACAAACATGTTAAGCAAAAGGACCAGACACAGTCCCATCAACATTTCTCCATTACTTTGCGACAGAATTAACTACAATTATGACAAAACTATTGCAACTTTCGCTTGATATTGGAAAAGTGTCAGACGTCTAGAGGGGAGCATCTCTTGTCCCCATATTTAAGAAAGGAGAGAAACACTTAGCTTCAAACAACCGTCTAGTCTCTTTATCTTCCGTATCATTCAAGTTATTGAAACATAGTGCCAGCCAATTATGGATCATTATGACGGCAACCATTTTCTGGCAGATCAGCAACATGTTTTCAGATCAAGACGATCATATGAGTCGCAGTTGATGGCTGGGTGGTTATGGCCATTTTTAAACTACTTTGATTTCCTTTAGAAGAAGAGCTTCAGATAAAGATATAATAAAATGATCAAATTTTAAAACAAACATTTATGAAATTTTTCTTTGCCAATTGATAGTTGATAGCTTAAGATATCATATCTAGAAAAATAAGTTATATCTTGGAGGTTAAGAAAAAATAATTTGTTGACCCCCTAGCCTTCTTAATGATTACGGTGGATGAGTTGGCCAAATCACTGGTCCTTGGAGATCAGGTAGACATAGTGCTGTTAAATTTTTTCAATGGCCTTTGACAAAGTGCAACATCAATGACTCCTACGTAAATAGCACTTTAATGGCGTCAGAGGAAACACATGGAACTTGGTCAAGGATTTTCTGTCGAAATTTACACAGTAAGTCACCCTAGAGGGTCAATCCTCTACCAGAGCTAATGTCATTTTCGGGGTCCCTCAGGTGACTGTGATGAGACCATTACTCTTTCTCACCAACAATGACATGTCGAAGTATACTTCATCAAATGTGAGATTATTCGCTCATGACTGCTGCTCTGTCGGAAAATCAACTCCATAGTAGACCAGCTAGATTTGAAGTCATTAGAGAATTGAGAACGAGAATGACACCCCCCCCCCCCGAAATGTACAGTCATTCATGTCTCCAGGAAACAACGACCCATTATCAACAAACACCTCAACTTCATGGTCAAACTCTAGAGTCAATTAGCAATGTAAAGTACCTATTCGATATCCCAGCAACATCGTACTTAAAACCAGGCGATACTCAGACAAGGGGCATGCAGAAACAACCGTCAGCCACTAACATACCGAGACGTCTATATGTTTTCCCTCTTCCCAAGGACCATCAGGGACTGGAACTGTCTGCCAGACTATGTCAACGAAGCCAGTACCATCGACGGCTTCAAGAAGCAGCTTTTTAACACCATGGCTGCTTCCTATAACTATTTAAGTAACCTGCAAAACATTAGTTTTTAACCAATGTTTAACTGTAACTAGAGGTGCTGTGAGCAATGAGCTCACTAAATGATACCCCCCCCCCCCCCACATGAATTTAATGGGAGTGTCCATGTTTTGTTGTGGGATACCATAATTATGTGTCAGATCAAAATGAAAAAAATAGGAGGTGCACAATGGCAATATGTAATCAAGATTCTCCGAAAGTTTCATCAAATTTCATACAGTGATATGAGAGGAGTTGCGGATAAGAGATGGGTACCCCAAAGCGTAACAGACGGACGAACATACCGATTACTATATACCCTCTCACTTTTCAAGCGGGGTATGATAAGCGGCTTTTACCTGTGTTCGACTTTCTACTTACACTCGGTATCGAGGTCAGCACTGGATAGGAAGAAGAAGAAGAATTTTTTAAGAACAGGTTTTATATATGGGTACCTGGTAGTTTTAGATTCACCTCTACCCTCACATCCTGACGTGTATCTACATGTAGGTACCGGTAATTATGGCCCTTGATTTTGTTAAATCATAACGTCTATAATTATGTCAGCTATTACAAGTGCTAATGTATCAAATTGATATGTACTCGTTTAACAATAAATGAATTTTCTTTTAATTATATCACAATGTGGAAAGAGTTAAGAATAAAATGTTAATAACTATGAAATTGTGAGAGAAAACAATTAAGAGACAATTAACATCAAAGACCAAACAAAACTACAATTATATTGAAAGAGTTTCGATCCACTTTCTTCGTCAACTGTAGATGGGTGAACTCGACTTTATTTCAAATATGAACGCAAATACCTATCTTAAAATGTAAACGTAACGTGTAATTTAGTTTATTACTTTAACACATTTAAGGTGTAATTTATTTTATTACTTTAATATATAACCGTAATGCTAAAAATTCCAAAGTAATTGTAATGTTATGCATTGCATTACATTTCACAGGAATTAACGCTATGTGCCTTTGAGGAATTAAAAAATCCATGGAAATAACAAGAATTGTAAAATGTTTATAGTTACTTACATGAACTCATACACAGAGATCTGAAATTGGATGCGGTCACCATAACATTGTGCCATTTTAAAATGTTCCCTACTAATTGTACAGCGACGTAATCCTCATACTGGACGTTTGTCGGTTCTCCTAGCTCCCATTCAGCCCAAGTTTGTAAATCATTATTTGTCATACTCTTGAGTTCATTTTTTAAATATCTGTATCCGATGTAGAACCAAAATACTGTGTATCTGTTTTAAAAAACAAATTTTTTATGCACAGGAAATAATAAAGATGAGAATCCAACACGTGGATACATGTACTAGGGAACTCAACTAAATGTTTAACAAACCCTTTATTCATAATAAGTTCCGCAATAAAACTGTTTACTGATGGGTCCGGGATCAGGGCTAACTCCCCATTGGAATCGGTGCATTTTTGTTTGGCGTCCATAGCAGAAGTGCTTATCCCGCTTACCCAGTAACAGCGGGTATTGCCTCCAGCAGGGGAGTACAGGGAGCCTCCGTTCTCACACGCACCATCTGAAAGAAAAATAAATCGGTAAGCTAATGCTCACTAGTAATATTCCCGCTCTGATGTGAATATACACTTTTGTGTGAATAAACACAAGTCCAGCTAGGAAATAGTGTACTTAACATGATTTCTTTTTGTTTGACTTTCATCCTTTATATCATACACAAAGATCCAAAGCATCTTGAACGAAATTTATTGGTTAGACTGACAAAGTCGTAAACAAAGTTGAAATCGAAGTCATACAAAATGAAATCCCACCATATAACTTGCCGAAAAATAAGAGTGTCCTAAAACATCTGAGATGAGTAGTTGTAGAGAAAACAAAACGTAAACCCGTAACTGATATACGCGCGGATGAAAGGAATTTGACATCAGATTCGTCCAAAAATGAATCCCACCATATATGCCTGATAAAAATTGCGTTAAACTTCAAGCATTTGCAATGAGTATTTGCTGAGAAAACTTCTACGGAAATTTGGTTTACAGAGTCGCACGAATAAAGGCAAACTTAACATTGAATGTAATCACTCAAATGACCTGTAAAACAAAGATTGCGCTAAGACTTCAAGGGTCTGCAATGAGTAGTTGCCGAGAGAACCGTGACGGAAATTTGGCTCGGACAGACACACAGATAAAAATTAGATTCGTACAAAAAATCCTCATCATATGAAATGCCGAACGAAAGAGCGTCTTAAAACTTCAAGCATTTGCGACGAGGCCGAAAAATTGTTATACGAACTGGATGAAGAGAATTTGCTACGAACAGACAGCTAGACACACAAACGTTAACTCTTTTGGAGCAGAAGTATGAAATTGTTTATAAAATGAGCTCCGGAAAGACCACTTATCAATTTATAATGCATGAAATTACTGAAATATATGTACTAATATCGAACATGTGCATACAATGTGTAATAGGGTATTTGTCAGAGTTTACTGTAGACGTTTGGACCGAACATGTTAACTCTATCGATTTAGGTGGAAGTCTAAAGCTTTTTATTAGCTCACCTGAGCCGAAGGCTCAAGTGAGCTTTTCTGATCAAAATTTGTCCGTTGTCTGTCGTTGTCGTCGATAACTTTTCACATTTTCATCTTCTTCTCAAGAACCAATGGGCCAATTTCAACCAAACTTGCCAAAAAGTATCCTTGGGTAAAGGGGATTTAAGTTTGTTCAAATGAAGGGCCACGCCCTCTTCCAAAGGGAGATAATAATGAATTAGTGAAAAATTAATGGCATCATTAAAAAAATCTTCTTCTCAAGAGCCACTGGCCCAGGGAAAATGAAAATCATGTGGAATTATCCTCAGGTAGTGTAGATTCAAGTTTGTTCCAATCATTACCCCTGGGTTAGGATGGGGCCACAGTGGGGTATCACAGTTTAACATAGGTATACATAGAAAAAAATCTTCACTGGGCCTGGAAAGATGAAATTTCTTTAGAAGCATCCTCTAAAAGGGAAGATTTAATTTTGTTCAAGTCATCACCCCCTGGGTAGGGTGGGGCCATAATGAGATATCAAAGTTTAACACAGGAATAGATAGGAAAGATCTTAAAAAATCTTCTTCACCAGAACCACTGGGACAGGAAAGATGAAACTTGTACAGAAGCATCCTTTGGTTTCGAAGATTCAGATTTGTGTAAATCAATGACCCATGGGGCAGGGTGGGGTCACAATGATGCATCAAAATTTAACATAGGAATACATAGGAAAAATGGTCTTCTTCAGAACCACTGGGCCAGGAAAGATGAAACTCATGCAGAAGTATCCTCTGAAAGGAAAATTGAATTTTGTTCAAATCATTGTTGTATTGATGACCAAGACGTGTGCAAAAGTACGATATTTACGACATAGGCCTAAGAAAGTCGACAAGTGAAATCGACATGATCGAGAGGGGAAGAAGACGGGATCGCCCGTTTCAAAGCAACAGGAATGCCCAATGGCACTCCGTTAAAAGAGCCAACCGACAGAAATTTTAAAACATTTAAAAAATCGCCGATATCACAATCAGGCCATGTACATTCTCAAAAGCGGCGCCCCAAACATGCCAGCCAAGAGCGCCGAAGTGTGTTGACGACGTTCCAGTAGCAGTGGAAAAGCGAAAAATCGGGAACATACGAACGGTTTTTTTGTTGTTGACAAAAATGTATTCGTGGATTTCAAGCTTGCGTTTGACAACGAGCGTACGGCCGGTGAACACATCCAAGTGATTACACTGACAACGAGAAATTTCGTCGATATCCCCGCCAAGGAAAAGGAAAAGATACAATTCCAGCTTCACTAATGAATGGTTGAATACTTTTGACCATACTCAGGAAAAAAGGTGATCAGCACGCATTATTTTGCACTATTTGTCAAATTGATTTTTCCATCATCCATGGTGGAAAAACTGACATCGAAAACAGAGAGAGGTAGAGAAGCATAGACAGTCGTATAAACTAAGATCTCAACATTCCCGTTTTAAAACTCTATTTAAGACAGAATCAAAGGGAACAGATGAAAAAGGTCCGCCAGGCTGAGGTACTTTATGTGGAGTACCTGATTGAGCTAAATGTCCTGTTTGCAGCTTCAGACCATTTCACAAAACTTGCAAAGTGCATGTACCCTGATAGTGACATTGCTAAGAGACAGTCTTGTAGAAGAATAAAATCGACAATGATTGAGAAAAACTGTTTTTATCCGACCTACAGAAATCCTGTTGTTCAATGCTGTAGACAAGATAAGTTCTCATTGTTAATTGATGAGTCCACTGATTAAGGATCTGACAAATGTTTCGGCATTCTCGTTCCTTTTTTTTTTTTTTTTTTTTTGATTTTCAACATGGTGCAGTCACTCGATTTCTTGATATGCCACTGTGCAATATTTGAACAGGGGAGGCGGTTTTTGAAGTCATAAATGAAATTTTCAGGTACATGTTTTCAGAGCATAATGCCATTAATATAATAAAAAAAAAATAATGATTTTGTAATATTGAAACAATTCTTACAATCTCTCTATTTCCATTGCAGGAAACTTAACATTCATTTGGAAATGTTGTTGCTTTTACAAGTGACAATTGCAACGTCATGAAAGGGGCCAACAATTCTGAATTCTGTCATATACAATATACTTAAACTATCCAGTCTGATGTATCTGATATCGACTACATATGCCACTTGTCAAATCTGTGATGTTCAGCTGTTTCCTTTTGCTGTTGTTGACTTACTGATATATATTTATTTTCACTTCCACAAAAGGTAACAATTAGCTCAGAAACTTAATCCATAAAATTCTATTATTAGAAATAACTGAAGAGGAAAAGCATTTTATTCAATCCAATTTTGTCATTGGATTTATATACATGTACATGTATTCCTCACATCTTAGTTCAAAGAGAGTTGAGGAATAAAAGCAGTTTGCCGCCTTCACAGACTTGAAAAATGTGTAAGGAGAACTCTCCTGCAATGACCAGCACGACAGTCCTATTTCTCCTTTTAGTCACAAAGAACTAGAGGACGAGTTAAAAAGATTGCGGAACTACTAACCAATCCTGAAGTCAAACTTTATTTCTTGTTCCTTGATTTCATCCTTGTTTCGCTCAATGAGTTAAACACTGTTTCAGTAAAATTATTGAATATGTGGTACTTTAAAATCTTTAAATAATTAAGCATAAATGAATGTCATTTTCTGAAGTTGGAAATGGAAAGTCTCCCAAGAAAATTCACAGCAAAGATCATCAAAGCTTTTGTCATTAGAGAACACAACATAGACCTTACTAAAGTCCCATTCTACCCTGCTGAGGCCCACCTTTCAGATGAACTCATGGGTGTTCGGATGTCAGCCAGATCCTTCCTGGCAGAGGAGGAAGACAACATTCCAATTGCAACACCATCAAGATTTTTCATGTAAGTAATACAGTATGAAATTTTATCACTTCCATCTGTTGAATCATATAACACCAATCGCCTACACCCTCACAAAACCCTAGAAACCTAAAATCTCAACAAAACAGTATATTTGAGCTTCGTAATAATCACTTCTTGGGGGTAAAAAAAATTATTTAAAAATTGAAAAATATAGAAGTCATATTGTTTCTCGTAAAAGGCTTGTCAGAAAATTCTACCAAGCTGTGGTTTCTAAAATGGTGCAGGAAATTCCATTTAAGGATTCTTTGAAACAGGATCTCAGAATCATTGATCCTAAAATAAAAAGGATATTACAGCTGAGACAAGTTAATACATTTTTATCTATTTCAAAGACGTGTCTTTTTTTCAAAAAAATGAAAATCATGTACTCTTCAAGATGAGGACCTGAACTCTTTGGCTGATGAGTGTCATGATTATGCAGTTCCCCCTATGATGACCTTCCAACAGTTTAGGGGTTAAAAAATACGGTGGTTCGAGGTCCCGGACGTCAAGTTTCTGGGGGCGGACTAGCTAATTCTTACCTATCAACAGTCCGTCGGACTAGTAATTTTGAAAATGAGAAATATTATTTTAATATTAAAAATAATTTAATTTAAAATTGTTTTTTTTCCCAATAAAATTGAGTAAAATATTGACGTTGTTCTTAATTACTTGAATGTTTTTCGTACGACTTATCTACAATCGAACGCAACGAATCTCCATCATTCAGACTCTTCCGTCAATATTGAAAATACAGGCACTGTATGATGCGTTTAAAGGACTAAGACATCACGCATGGTTCAGGGGAAAAAAAAGACCGATGTGTGTCTGAAATCATGTCGCACAATGCAAAATATTATGTAAAGAGACTTCGGAAGAAGGACACAAATGGCCTGACAAAAATATTTAATTTTTTACAAGTCCAAACACAAGCACGGGTACAACATGTACAAATGATCCAAGTACAAGTAGTACAAGTGGTGACATTCAATTAACAAGTACAACCGATTGGTGTGTTGTAGAGGACGACGTCCACGATGAATCAGAACACATAAAAAAAACCTGAAGTAAGTTCTAGCAATATCGTGTCCTTAAAAAGTCAAGATGACCAGACATCCCGGACTCCAAGCCTGAAATTTGATGATTGTGAAGGTGAATTGAAACCATTAGACCAGAGAAAGTTTTATTCACATAAATATGAAAGTCAATACAAATGGTTGTATTTTTCAAATTTGAAGGGAGGATATTTGTGTAAATACTGTGAACTTTTCTCAGACTCGGTGACTACTGATTTGGAAGTGCCATTCATTCATAAAGGGGCAATTCTGGGTACACACCCTACAAGAGTTTTGGAGAAACATGATGGAAGTAAGAAACATAAATTTTCTGTTCAAAGATACACATGCTCGCGAGGAAATGTTAATGTTTACAAACAAGTACAAATGGCATTCGATGAACAAGAATATAAGAGGAACAGAACTGTTGTGAAGAAAATATTCCAGTGTGTGGATTTTCTGGTGAGACAGAAGTGGGCAGTCACTGAAAACACAGAGAAATTAGCCAGATTTGTTGCCAGCATGGGGGACAGTGACCTGAAGGCCCATTGTGACAATACCTCAAGCAAAACATCTTACTTGTCATCTCATAGTGTCACACAGATGGTTCAGTGCATATCAGATTTTCATGAGAGAGAATTATTATCTCAGATGAAAGACAAAGAGATTTCATTGTTGGCTGATGAGAGTACTGACATAGCCAATAGGAGCCAATTATGTGTCATGACTAGGTGTGGGAATTCAGATGGTGATGTAGCAACAATTTTTTTAGGTTTTGTCAATCTAACAAAAGGCACAGCTGAAGCCATAATGGAAGCAATCAAATCATTTCTACAAGCCAGAGACATAGACCTTGCCAAAATCAGGTTCATCGCCTTAGACGGTTGCAACACAATGAGTGGAGAACACAAAGGTATCAAAATTAAAAGAATAAGACTACTTAAATTTAGTTTTAAATTTATTGCAATCAAGACACTGTAGAGTATATAACATTGTTCACATTAATTTATATTAAATATTTTTAATAATTAATAAAGGGATAGTGAAAGAACAGTACATGTACTTTATTTCATGAACACAACAACATAAATTAGTTTAATTTTCTGCTGATTTTTTTCAGGACTACAGAGACGAATCAGACACGAAAGTCCATTCGCATTGTTTGTCAACTGCCGAAATCATCGCCTAGCCTTATGCTTAGTCCATCTTATCAAACGATACCCAGTTCTTCAAGAAATTGATTCCACACTTCTGGCACTATGGAAGTTATTTGAGTTTTCACCGCAGAAGTTGGCTGTTTTCAAGCACATTCAATCAGTCTATGGCAAGGAACCACTTACCATTCTTCGTGCAGCTACTACCAGATGGTTGTCTCATCTTCATGCATCTTCAAGATTTATTTCAAGGTACACTTTTTTCTCAGTTTATCAATACTTTTAGTCTCATTAGACAGTCTTCAAAATTTTGACTTCAATACAAGGTGTATTATTTTTTTAAATTCAGATACAACTGTATACTTGATACACTTGATGCACTATATGAAGATAAAAAAGACCCAGAGGTATATGGTATCAGGGCATCTATAACAAAGAAAAGTTTACTGGCAGGTATATTACTCCTGTGTGACATTTTGAAACCAGTACACATGCTTTCTCTCTATCTTCAACATGAAGACATAAACTTTACCATGCTTCCCATCCATGTCAAAGAAACCATTGACTTGCTTCATCTACTGGTTGAAAACTATCAGAGAAATCAGTTACAAGACACAGAGTATCAGAAATGTGGTGATTTGTTCTCAGAGGTGGATGATAGAACCAACCTTGCAAGGCGAATGAGAGCTGGAGCACATGAATTGACACCAGAATCCTTCCTTGAACAAACAGGTATTTTTTTCTAATCCAAATAAAAATTTTATTTAAATTCCTGATTACCAGGTTAGGATTTTTTTTATAATCACATGAATTAGTTTTAACATTTGATATTTTATTTTATTGTAGGAATTCCACTGATCTATGATTTGATACAAGAAATCGAGGATGCATTCTGTACAGGATCTTCTGTCCTTCCCTCCTTTGGAATACTGGATCCACATAATTTACCTGACACTGTGCAGGAACTTTCGGATTACAATCAAGTATAGCCATTAATTTGTAATTGTAACCAATCCATTCTAGATAATAAATTTTTTTTATTTTTATTGCCTCATAACATGATTTTAATTTGAGAAATACATGTAAAAAATAGTTTCAATTAATTTTTTGTTAAACTTTATTTCTTTTTTTTCAGGAGAGCATAAACAGATTTGTTGAGTCTTATGGAACTGCAAAAGATGACACATTCCAGGGACAAAGAGTCCAGGTTCGAGCACAGTTTGAACCTGTGGCCCTCAGGGCAGAGCTTGAAAATTTTAAGCGACACCTTTCCATGTTGAGGTAAATTTCAATTCGCTGCATGCAGTTATTGTTCATAATTGACTTGATATAATTTTACTCTTGAGGTTTTTAACATTTATTCAACCTACTTTTTTTCTAACCCAAGTTGTGAAGTTGGAATGTTATGTTTTCTGTGTTATTTTTTCAATGTTTAGTTTATAGTATTGGCTGAGAAAATGATCAATTGGACTCAAAGGCAATAAAGGTAAAATGTATTTATATAAATTAAATATTTATTCATGCTTAAAATCTTTGAAATCAAAATATTCATAAGCTTTATATATAATGTTTGCTGTCAGATGGATTATCAAATCAATTGTCAAATGTAAATTTATTTCATTTCAAAAAGTAAAGATGTGAATATTTTTTAAATTTTACATGATGACATGTATTTTTCAATTGTAATTATGAATTATCATTTATTATTCATTTGCCAAATATATATTTTAATTTTTGTGATTGATCGGAATGAGAAATATCAGCAATACAATTTTTTTCAGGAGAAGAGGATGCACAACCATTCAAAGCATATACAAGGAGTTCTGTCAGGATATTCTCTTGAGAGAGTGCTTTCCTCTGGTGCATCATCTTTATTACCTGGCTATGATTATTCCATCATCAACAGCTGTCGTAGAGAGGGGATTTTCGCTTATGTCAAATATTGTCACCAAAAAAAGAAATAGGCTCACTGAACAAAACACAGATGCTTTAATGAGGATTTGTCACCAAAACAAACAATTATCCAATGAAAATTTAGAGAAACTTGTTGACAACTTCAAAGGATTAAGAAAAAGAAAATTACAAATGTAGAAGTGTTGATGAAAATTTTTTATTTTTATAGCAAATTCATTAAAAGGTTAAAAATTTCTTGTTTATCTTGTATTATTGATTTTTCCCAAAATGGTGAAAATGTCGATAATTTTTCCCAAATGAAAAGGTCCAGGCCCCATTTGAAAAAATCACTGTTACCATAACGTTTTATTGCTGCTCCTGAAAGCGTCAGTTAGATTGCGTCAGTTGACAGCGTGGTGGTAAAAGGCGCCATGAGTAAAAAGGGCCAACAAACATTGTTTGATTTAAAGTTCGTCAGTTCTGAAAATTCTGATGAAAATAAAGATAAAAAATATGAAAAAAATCAGCGAAAAAGAACATTTCAAGAAGGTTGGAAAGAACGATATCCATGGGTTGATCAGGATGATGATGGGCTTATGTTTTGTAAATACTGTCGCAGTTTCCCTGAATTTGCGAACAAACAACAAATTTAAAGATCGATCCTTTGATTTCACATGATAAGACAAATGAACACTTAACAGTGAGTAAACATTATTCAACCAGAAAAAATCCTATTTCCAACGACCAGAACAACAATGAGGCAGAATATCGGAATGAGCTACAGTATAGCGGGTTTTCTTAGCGGGTGTAAAATTTGGCGTTTTGCCTGCTTAAAGGTATGACTATAATTTTAGAGTAAGTTATTTAAGCGGAAGCAGGGTTTGATCTCTTTGCAAATGGACACTAAGAAGAGTACTGACAATTTTAGCGATTAAAATTTTAGCGGGCCATCATCAAAACGCCAAAAAAGTCAAAAATTAGCACCCCGCTAAAATAACCCGCTGTACGGTATTACCTGTGATTAAAGACACGGAGATACGCAAAGCCTTTTATAGATTATCTGAAGAAGAGAAGAAAAAAAATTACAGTCTTTTTCGATACTGCGTATGCTGTTGCACGAAATGGAAAGCCATTTTCAGATTATTTGTACATTTATGAATTGAATAGCTTGAATGGATTAGATATAAAAGGTCAATATAACAATATAATTGCCTGTGAAAATTTTGTTGAGGCTATTTCCCATACTTTAAGAGAAAGAATTCGTGCTGAAGTTTTGATGACAAACTGTGTCAGTATACTTGCTGATGGATCTACAGATGCCTCAATATCGGAAAAAGAAATTATCTATCTTCGGTCAGTACTATAAGAATAACAAAACTGTAATTTAATGCACAAGATGACATAATACTTAGTAAAGAGTGCATGAATATTTTGCCTGTTTTTCAAATAATATTTTAAGAAAAGAAAAAGCATTTTGTTTTTTAAATTAAATGGCAAGTTAAATTTGATAAAGTATTATTTGTTTGAATTTTCTTGTTTGATATTTAGGTATGTCCATCCAATTTCTGGAATACCTGTGTGTAGACAGATTGACATTATAGCAGTAAAATCGTCGGATGCCTCTGGAGTCTTGGGTGCACTCAATGCAGCAGTGGAAAATGGTTTAAATCTGAAAATGACCGATTTTCATCCTGATAAGAAAGGAACTCCATCTCTCATCATGGCGAACTTTGACGGTGCTTCTGTAAATTTTGGTTCAAAGTCTTGTGTTGTTGCACAAATGAAAAAAGACTTTACGAATATTTGGGCTCTGCAGTGCGTAGCTCATAAGTTAAAACTATCTATTTTAGATGCTGTTAAGTGTTGGAAGTATATAAGTGACACATTTGAAGACATCATCAAGGGCATTTTTCAAATTTTATCACTACCCCCCCAAAAAGGAGGAGGGAACTTAGGGCAATTGCCGAGATATTAGAAAAAGAACTTAATCACTTTTCAAATATAAAACAAGTCAGGTGGCTTGCTAGCAAGTCTAGGGCTATTGATGCTCTGAAAAAAAATTCAGCAAGTTGTAACACATTTAGAACATAATTTGTCTAGCACATATGCAGAGGGCACAAGTAAAGCCCTAGGGTATGTCAAAAAAATTAACAACTGTCAAGTTTGTAAAAGTTTTGCATTTTATGCTTGACTTTTTACCTGTAGTTGCAAATCTGTACAAATCATTTCAGTCTGAAACTGTGTTGTTGTGTGAAGATACCATTTTAGTAGATGGGGTCATGTTAGCCCTGGAGGGTTTGAAAACAAGCAATGGGGCTAATATGAAAGAAATTTTTGGAAAATTTTTACACTGTGACCTCAAAATATGGCAATGTAAAATTTGACAAACAAACCACAAACACTCAATTTCTCAGATGATGCTGATGTTAAAAAGTTTTTGTCTGATGTCATAACTTATTTAACGAAGAAGTTTGATGCATTGTACAAACCCCCGTTTTCTTTGTTCAGTGTTTTTAATGTCAAGAACTTGCCAGTACTAGTACCAGAACTAGGCAAGTATGGTGTTGATGAGATAATGTCAATTGTCAGTCATGAATGTTTTTCATTTTTATTCACTGGAGCTGAAAAGGCTGTTGTTCTTTCACATTGGTCACTTTTGAAAGCAAAAGTTAGGCATCTTAGGCATGTATCATTAGTTGATGTTTATTCCTCAGTTATTGCTGGGGACAAACAGTCAAAGCATCTCCCTGTCATATGTAAAGTGATTGAAGTTATGATGACACTTTCCCCTAGCACTGCCAGGTGTGAAAGAGGATTTTCAACCCAGAACATTGTTAAAACAAATAGACAGACAAAACTTACTCAGAACAATTTGCGAAATCAATTACTCTTGATGTTAGGTCCTGATTTGAAAGATTTTACGGCAGAAAAAAGCATAGCACAGTAGTTGCTCTCTGCTAATAAAAGTAGACATGTACATTGTCACAAACTGCATGAGAAAGACTGAACATGATGATGAAACAAATATGTCTTATGATGCCTCAAAAGTTAATCAAAATTAAGCATTAGTGTTTGTTTTGTTTTTTATATGAACAAGTAATTTAGTGATGCGGACGAACAGGACATAATCCCTTATATATGATACCCTATATTCCTACAGATGGTAGGAATATTGGATTTACATGTCTATACCTTAATTACACAGAATTTCAATTTAAGCAACTTACTAGAAACTGTGGTAATTGATGTTGTGGTGGATACACAAGATACGACGACGTTTGAACAAGTGTTAGCACCACTTTGACCCGCGGAGCAGGACTGTAAAAAGAAAGGTTACATATGGTAATTAGTTTCATTAAAACATTTTACTGAAATGCAGTCTCTCAAAATGTTCAATTTTTTATCTGATAAAGCCAAAAAGGATTTTAAATCATAATTCTTATGCCCTGAAGTTCAACTGACAAAAATAATACTCACTGGAGAAACAACTGTCATAGCGTTACCCAAAGTTTCTTCCATCTCAACTTTCCATTGTGTTGCATCTATCAAAACTACCCCATGGAAGGATCCACATGAATTTTTTACTGTATGACATCCCACAGTGCTTGTATAGTCACGGGACGTGTATAAACATTTAGTATCACTATCATAACATTTCACATTAAAAATATCTCTGTTTAATTCTAAGTTATTTCCATTGGCCGAAAAGTCCATACCACAACCCTTGTTGACAGACATAGAGAACTGGGCTATGCTCAGATGGTCAACACAGTAAGTAGTTTTTGATATTTCTTGCTCCCGGGGAGTTAGGTAATGAAACAAATCCCTCCCACTGTCAATTGCAACAAGAATGGGGTGATTCGAATCTATCATGACGGCTAATCCTTTCGTGAATGGTATTTCCAATTTGTCTGCTTCGTCAAGGAGGCTAAACTCCTCGCAGTTACTATCATCCGAGACCGTGAAGGTGGTATGAGCTTCGGAAGCCACGATGGTCGCTCGACAGGCCTCAATCGCCACAAAGTCGAAGGATCGGCCCAAACGGGTACGGTCGACAGTGTGCTCGACTTTATGATAGAAATCCGCAGTGTTTTGTTGTCCAGTGTAGTCCACAAAGTCAAAGTCACATCCGGTAAACACAGATACGATATTAGAGGCTGATATCCGAGTCCCAGTAAGAGAATGATAACTCGTCAAATGGAGTACATCGTATCTATCGAGGGTGACAGTTATATCTTCTCCTCCGTGATAAACCTTATTTCCCAGTGTCAGAATGTCCATGCTTGGGTCTCCGGAAAGAGTAACAACCACAGTTGTGCTTGTATTGGTGGAAACTATCTGTGCTTGGTTGTACGTGCTGCTAGCATTGCATGGAGTGATTACGTAGTACCGGCTTCCTAGCTCTGTATAGGGGAATACCATAGTAGAATCGCCTGAGAAAGATCCGATATTGATCAATCTCACTTTGATCGGGACCGTGGATATAATCTCAAATCCTTTGTTAGAGGTCCTTGACGTCTTGTCCAAACCGTAATCGTCGGGAATATCAGTCAATGATGTCATTAAAGACCCGACATTCCATTGGTCATTGTTTATTTTCTCTACCAGGCTATGGTATACTGATATATAAGCAGTATCCGTTGTACTAGGATTGTACAAGAGAAGTTTGCAACTCTCTCTCCCATATTCTTGCGGCTGACGACTCATGGATAGAACAAATCGAGTCCCTGTATTTGGAATGCCTGGACTTGTGCTTGCACCTTAAAAATAAGATACGCCTTTATGTCTTAATGATGTAAAGAATAAACATCTTCCTTTTTGTGAAGGATTGGTAGTGTAAATACTGCAGATGCCAATATTTCAGTTTCCTTGACTACTATTAAACCAAAGATAATTTAAATGTGCTCCTAGTATCATAGTTATCATAGAAATGAGTATTTATTAAAAGGAAGTCGGATCTACATTTTCCGGTATA